GTATTTGCATTTTGAATAGCTTCAACTTCTAAATATGGTAAGCACTTGTCATTCTGTCTTGAATTGTTGTCTCCGTGTGCTGAATCAAACTGCGAAAGTACGCAGCAATTCTGAACTCGTTAAAGACATATTCTTACAAGGATAACCAAAAGAACCCTAATGACAGCGACATATGGTATAATCTCTTTAGTTGCTGTCGTGATCTGTACAAATTTTCAAGACGGTCTTACAAACACGCGGGCGGAAGTCGAAAGTAAACTAATCTGTACTTCGAAATGGCAAAAGTTAAAATTAAATTCGAAGTCTATGGTCACACATTTATCATCGAAACAAAATTTTAGCTCATTTTGGAGAGAAAACGAGCAGGACTTCAAAGCTCGGACAGCGAAGCGGTTATTCCAAGCGGTTATATACCCGTACAACTTTACGAAAGACTTCTCGTGTTACGGAACTGTCGCAAATTACGCGGGTTCGATTGCAACTTGGGTTAATAATGTATCAGTTAATATAACACTGCCTGAAGTTGGCTCAGAATTGCTTGGTTTACGTCTTATACCATTATCGGGTGGTGAAAGGCGTTTGGAATTTTACGTACGACCAACAACCAATATCGGTGAAGTTAGTTACAGCCTAAGCTACTGCTATGTTAACAAATATGACCCCGGACTCGCAGAAAATTATTCATGCCCGGTGTTTAGAAATGTTATATTTAGCTGTTCACTTCGCGAAAGCAACGTATACGGAATTCCAAACTCTAGCGGTCTTATCTGTCAAGCATTCACTACAGACTATATTAATTATTACGCAGACTATAAGTTTTATATTCAGTCAACAACCGGAGATGGATCCAATTCAGTAAGCACTGACTTCCGGATTTACACCAAACAATCTGTTGATAACGTTGATGAGCCGATATCCCACTACCAGGGATACTTTACCGCAGTATTGATGGGACCAAAGCCCAGGTATCTTATTATAGCAGCGATAGAACAGGTATGATACCATCCTTTGCCCCCAACAATGAACGATCGCAGATAAAACATTGTATGTTCTCATGAGTCATGTCAGTGAAACTTTCTTGTTTGAGATGAGTATTTTAATGTTTCAATTACGGCGGTTCGAAGCTAGTTAATTAAACAGGGTTAATTGATGAGATTAAACTCTGTAAATTTTCAATGACAAGCATGAAAGTTTCATGTTAGAATAGACAACGTTGCTATATGTTGCAGTGAATATGTTGCACTAACTCCCTAACCCTTCCCCACCTATAACCCTTCCCCACCTACCCCTTCCTCACCTAACCTTCTAACCCTTCCCCACCTAACCTCCTAACCCTTCCTCACCTAACCTTCTAACCCTTCTCCACATACCATCCTAACCTTTCCCCACCTAACCACCTAACCCTTCCCCACCTAACCCTTCCCCACCTAACCCTTCCCCACCTAACCCTTCCCCAGCTAACCCTTCCCCATCGTAATTAGCGCACATTTCCTAACACTCGTAAAACTAACTGTGTACCTTTAATTTTTCCTTGTACAATAGAAAGTCGTATTAAATTGGGAAAACACTAAATTCACTATGTTCCATCAAATTGACTACTCATGCAGTAATGGCGCAAATTCAAGCAAAACAAGCAAAGAAGCAAGTGCATCTATTCACGACGCGAACTTCGCACCGTATATTTTATGTGAGTTCTGCCTTACAAACCTGGTTAGTGCAGGAAGCCTGAGGTCAGAACCTTTGTGTAATTCAACAAGATTCCCAGAAAAATCGCCGAGTATGCCTCCTTCAATAACCTGCGATTTCAAAACATGCGGAACAACGAGCTACGCCAACGACACGCGAGCGGTGAAGGTAAACTGCGAGTTACCGAAGGAAAACACGCGAAATGGTTTGCTGACTAGCCTGGTGATTAATTACTGGAATCAAAGTAACACTGATCCATTTCGGAAAGATTTCCCTATCAATTTAACTTCATGTCAAGTGACAGTTAAAGGCCTTCACAAGAGGCAAAATTATTTTGCTCAAATGTCCGTGTGTAATTCTCAAGGCTGCAGCAGTTTGAGTGAAACCGTTTTAATTGCTAAAGCTGTGCACCCACCCTCTAGGAACCAGAATGGAAAGAAACTATACTGGCTAGGGTTTCTCGCCGTTTTGCCTGTACCTATTATTGGTGGATTTGTGTGCTATTACTCCCGACGCACCACAAAACCGAAGCAAAACAAATCTTTACCAAACGTCAAAGAACTGATCGCGAATTGTTATTGTGATTTAGAAGCAAGCAATAACTATCATGAACTACCCAATGGAGATGGTAATGGCAATGAACTTGATAACATTTGAGTTTCTTGACTTGACAGAATTCTGAACTGAATCTACTGATACGCCTGCTCAGCTATTAAACACTCGTTTAAACATTTGATTTAACATTTGTCCAACAGCAACCAGATCACTCACGTCAATGTATATAATTTAAATGCTTGCTTACCATTGTTTCATTCTATGATAACATGTCATATGCTTACATGGAAGTTATCCAAAAATTGAAAAAAAAGGCGACAAAAGGTTATTGTTCCAATTGCAAAAATGTTGTTGGAAAGTTTTACCTGAAACATTATTTTATACACATAGATGAACTTGCTTAGATAGTCTCAACACAGACGTCAAGGGGGAATATCAAAAAGCAAAAAGTTAGAGCAAAGGACCTGAGGAATTAGAAAAACTTTGATATTGTTGTAAATAATTCTGCTTCATCTTCTGATTTTTGAAAATAATAACTGCATTCTATTGAACTGTATTTCAATTTTTCCTCAAATGCTGGTCACTTCTAGGTTTTGCCAGTGTACAAGGCTGTCCCAAAAATGTCTCCATCATATTTTGTCAGTGGTATCAGCTTTAATATAAGATTGAAGTTTTTGTCTTAGGTTAACTTTTAGAAAGGATTCTTAAAGAAGAGTCACCTTAACTCCTATGCTAAACCTGTGTTCCCTGACATCAAGATTTAATTTCATGTGAACCAAAATGAGGCAGAATCCCATGCTAAGAAGGAAATGTCTTGTTTTCAGGGGGGGTGACACACCCACAACATTCCCCTTAGCAATAGGGGTGCAGGATATTTATTTTTGTAAGGATTTTAAAAAATTGCAGGAATCATCAATGATAAATATTTGTGGTAAACATATGGGAGAAAAAGGAAATTTGAGCATGGAACCTTTTAGAAATCTTTTCAGAAATCTTTTCTGGGCCTTGGTTAGTAGTAAAATTTCTATCACTATACTGTCTGAGAAACATTTCTTACAATACCTTGACAAGGTTTCCAATCATAATTCGCTGTTGTTCTGCTTCCTTAAAGAAAAACAACACAATATGTACAATGTCTAAGATAAGTGGAGTAAGATCTCAAAACTTTAGTATTTTACTCTCTGGCTAAAGCGAGGAGATTTTACTCACCAGACACAGAGAAGTGGTGATACACTAAGGTAAGTCAAGGGGTCATTAGACGATGGTAGAAGGGACATTTCCCAGGCTCCTACATGTTACGTTAAAGCAACATGTTAAGTAGTAGTTACTAATTACTTTTTGAGTAATTTTTTGGTAATTATCCCTTTAAGTGGCAATGCTCCCTGATGCACCCCACTTTATTTCCATCCATCACGTTCTCCTTGTCATCTAACACCAGGAAATTTTACTTGTCATGAGGAGAGTATTGCCACTAAATTGGTCATCAGTATATCAGGCCATTCATCCTGTTAATTCTTTAAATGGCTATGCACCCTGATGCACATTACTTTATTATTCTCCTCTGTCTAATGCCAGATGATTTATAAGTGCACCACAAGCACAATTAGTTTTGAAGACATATTAGTTTTGAATAAATACCAAAGCTTTTGATTCCGAACAAAAGTAACAGACCAACAAACTCGTACAAGGCATATAAAGTGATACCACACTTCATTTGGGCAATGCAATTTCCACTGAGAACTGGGCCTTATGTGCTCTGAGGGTTCCATTAGACTCCACAGGGGTGATCATTCCCTACCACCTGCTGTCAAACAATAGCAATACTCAAATCTGTAATTGTATTCTCTTGCATCCTTTTTTAAAGTTACCTGACCTACATACAGTACTGCTACAGACCATCATTTCACACAAAGGTACTGTCCTTAACTGATTGAGTGGCAACAATCTTCCAGTGGTGAAGCTAGCCATGGTCTGGTCAGGCTATGCTAATAAACCTATACCAAATTAGTTTAAAGACAATGATTTGTATAAGTTTGAATAATATTATAATCCAAATTTACATAGCATGACCAGTTGCTACTGTAATAGCTTCACCCCTGAATCTCCCCTTGACTTGTAAGATTGTCACGCATTAGACAGTTAATCTGGCATTAGACGGAGTGACATAATAACATAGGTTGCATTAGGGATGCAACTGAATGGGTTAAATGCCTCAAACAAAGGATCTTAGTTCAAAATATTGTATTGATAATTATGCATAACTCAACTGCCAATTAGACTATCACACAGGTATATTTGAAAAACACTACCACAATATGTATTAATATTCATATATTGCATACTGTACATTACACTTGCCTAACATGGAATATACACTGTAACTAGTGTACAATATTGGCAGTTTTCCATATCAAAATTAATTAAATGAAATTTATCTTTAACAATCAAAGCTATTTACATTGATGTCATTAGTTGCTCAAACAAAATAAACCAACTTCCCCCTCTTAAAGAAATGTAAACATTAAAATATGATCTCTAATGTATCATATTATCAGAATTATCTATAATATATCAAAAAGGTGATCCACTTATGCGCTTTAAAGTGGGTACTAACAGAACCAGGTAACTAACAACTCATAACAACTACTGTGTAACAAACTAAGCGTTATATGCCATATTGAACAAGGAAGTATTTTAAGAATTCGAATGGATATTATATTCAACTTGCGAAATATATAAAAACAAATAACTTTTGAAATTGTTGCAAAATGAATTAGTGTCAGAAAATATTAGTCTTACATGTAATAATTTCATTATATTCATTTATATATGTGGTAATCTTGTAGTCTATTATTAATACTCTTGTACTTTATCGCAAATAAATAGAAATTCTTTTCATAATTTCATTTTCTTTCTCCTAAAAGAGTGGACAATTCTGATGATGACCACAACCCAACAAGAACAGAATGAAAGTCACTTACATCCAGTTGTGAGCCACTGCGATTTCGTATTCGCGCCTCATCGTTGTCAGCAACTCTCGACTGTCTACTAAATTTGCTGGGTGAACGTCTAAAAGACTCGCCAATATTTTTGAAAATGTTCTGCCTTGTAGTCATCTTGGTAGTTTAAATTGAATGCAACTCCAAAGACTGAAAGAAGTAACATGGAATGACTTCTTAGAAGCCAGACAGAAAGGTCAAATACCAACTCGTCCAAGACTAAACATACTCGATTTGTCACACCATGATGACACGAGACCAAGTTCAAATACAACGACTTCGACCCTTTTAAGCGCTTGTTCCTAATTTAAAGAGAAGATATTATATCTACCACACGTTACATAGATGTGTTACCAAACGATTTATCCAAATAAATGCACATTAAGCATAATTGTCATCAAGTCTTTGACCCGGAGAGCTGGTGATATTTACTCCATAGTCCACATTTTACGCATGCAATAACAACTTGCCGGAAGTACGATGATTGTGTCGGAAGATGATCGAGCGGAAGATGTTCGGGCTACGTTACTTTCCGACCACTGATTTCGAAATAAATTGATCCAATTCCATGTTTCGCGCACCAATATAGGTTAGGGTTAGGGGTTAGGTATTAGGGGTTAGGTTAGGGTTAAGGTTGGGGTTAGGGTGTGTATATATGTGTATGGAGGTATCTAGTGAACTTTTCAATACACTATAATATCCATTACATAACGTTTACTATATTGGTGCGCGAAACATGGAACGATTACCCAAAAGTCTCGCATCTTGTATGCAAGTCTGCCAACAAGTTGCTTCGCACTGCTTGTCCCAAGTTGTCAACAAGTTTGGAACAAACTATTAACAACCATGTTGATATTATCAGACTTGTTGCAAGGTTGTTCCAACAAGTCTGATACAGTCATGACTTAACAATATTGTTACAACCTTGTGTCATCAACCTTGTAACATTCTTGTTATATCATGACTGTATCAGACTTGTTAGAACTACAAGCCTGATAATGCCATCAAGCTTGTTACTTAAGTTGTTAACAGCTTGTTCCAAACTTTGTTCCAACAACTGGGAACAAGCAGTGCGAAGACAACTTGTCGACAGCTTCTGAACAGATTCGTAACAACTTGTTTGCAGACCTGTAAGAACTTGTGCGTTTTTACGTGTGTAGGTGGTAACCTTGATGCAAATTGCGGCCTCATGATCAAGCTGATTTAAACTTGAGACGTTACAAACGTTTTATTGTAATTATTATGAACAATCGACTATTCGAAAAACATTCCTGTGTTTAATTAAGCAAACGTAGTTGTAATTGTCGCGAAAATTTAAGCGCTTGGCCCGTTGGCCGTCTTCGTCTTCGCACTGACACAAAATAGATACCGGACCTTATAGCTTGTCAGTTTACTTTTTGATTCAAACAAAATTTCAAGTTTTCAACGACTGCGAAGTGCGAACTAAAATAGTAAAATCAAACACGTTCACAAGCAAGCAAAGAAAGCTCAAAGCTGGTTCGATCTTGAAGAAAGTGGCAATGAGAATACAAAGATCTAGAGCTTAAGAAATGAAAAAATACATAAACAACCGAGTCTTCAACGTTGATATGAATATGACTTTCGTCACACAATTACTTTCCAATTTCAAGTGAATTCCCCCTAAGCACTAAAATTTCCCCTGTGCCAAAACTTTCTGCATCAATATCCGTTTTGAACCTTTCTCTGTCCGTCTATAACAATTTTTTTTTCATTTTCCCGAATTGAGATTCATCTCATGAGATGAGCAGGTCACAACAATGTACTCGTGTTTTTAATTTTACCAGAATTACAAATTGTCCACTGATGGCTTAGTGGTATGTCGTTTAGCCTGTCTCGATAAGCATTTGAGTTCAAATCCAGTTGAACTCATGTTTTGTAGCAGACTCACAATATTTTTTTCCCTTTATTTATTCTGACTATTTTATTTTCTTTTTATACCTCTATGCGCAAAATCCGTTGACAAGTATAGAAAATATTCTAATTTCCCAAGGATTTAACGCGGAACTTGCCGTGCGATAGTAAGTTGTAGTTTTAGTTCACTCTATCACGAAGCCAGCGAACGGCTAAGCGTAGTAGAAAGTATATTAAAACACGGATAATCACGGCTAAGCATTTTTTATAACAAAATGCGCATTAAAAGTTCCCCTGTACCAAAACGTTTTGCATCAATATGCGTTTTGAACATTTCTAAGTCAATCTAAACCGAAAAATGGCCCGAAATTTTCTAAATTTGACTTTGGTTTAAACCCGCAGCACTTGCCTTGCGATAGTAACTTCTAGTTTAAAGTCGAGTCGATGCACGAAGACGGCGAACGGCTAAGCTAGTAGAAAGTATATTAAAACACGGCTAAGGACGGCTAAGCATTTTTTATATCAAAATACGCATTAAAATTGCCCTGTACCAAAACTTTTTGCATCAATAAGTGTTTTGAACATTTCTAAGTCGATCTAAACCGAAAAATGGCCCGAAATTTATTAAATTTGATTTTAGTTTAAAAGGCAGCACTTGCCTTGCGATAGTAACTTCTAGTTTATAGTTGAGTCGATGCACGAAGCCGGCGAACGGCTAAGCTAGTAGAAAGTATAGTAAAACACGGCTAAGGACGGCTAAGCACTTTTTATATCAAAATACTCATTAAAATTGCCCTGTACCAAAACTTTATGCATCAATAAATGTTTTGAACATTTCTAAGACGATGTAAACCGAAAAATGGCCCAAAATTTTCTAAATTTGATTTGGTTTAAAAGGCAGCACTTGCCTTGCGATGGTAACTTCTAGTTTTAATTGACACGATCCACGTCGATCCACGAAGCCGGCGAACGGCTAAGCGTAGTAGAAAGTATATTAAGACACGGCTAAGCACGGCTAAGCATTATTTATTTATAAATGCGCATTAAAATTCCCCTGTGCCAAAACCTTCTGCATCAATATCCGTTTTGAACCTTTCTCTGTCGGTCTATAAAAATTTTTATTTCATTTTGCCCGAAATGAGATTCACCTCATGAGATGAGCAGGTCACAACAATGTACTTGTGTTTTTAATTTTACCAGTATTACAAGTCGTCCACTGATGGCTTAGTGGTATGTCGTTTAGCCTGTCTCGATAAGCACTTGGGTTCAAGTCCAGTTGAACTCATGTTTGGTGCAGACTCACAATATTTTTTTCCCTTTATTTATTCTGACTATTTTTTATTCTTTTTATACCTCTATGTGCAAAATCCGTTTACAAGTATAAGAAAA